ATTATAGTTGAGATTCTTGTTAGTTCCCGCAAAGCTTTGCACTTAGACTTTTTTAATTGAGTCCCTTTTCCTCCCTGGGGTCATCAAATGCCAGTAGGATCCTCCACTGTCTTGAGGCTGAGGCATACAGCTCTTTAAGAACACACCCCAGAAGGCTTCCCAGACTTTTCCCAAAATTTAAGGAGTTTCCTTATACCTCTGTCTTCTTCCAGAGCTGGAAGTTAATTGCTCATTAGGCAAGCACACCTGGATTGAAAACACATAGTAAAGAAAGCTCTTACAGTAATTGAAGACTCATAATGCATTTGGGCCTGAATTTTGGAATAAGATGGATGGAGTTGTGTGCTGTATTTGTGTGCATAATAAGAACCACAATTGCTCATACAGGTAATTGGCTGCACCAGTTTACCTTTAGTCAATCTGTAGGTGCCATTCTGGAATTACCACTGTCAAGCAGGGCATCAAGATAATTATTTCACATCTTCTGCCATAAACCCAATTATAAAATATTTTTGTGATAAATTGATGCCTTCCTGTCTTTGTCATTGCTCTCCTGAGCCTTTGAGATATTTATATATTCTGTAACACAAAATGATCCTTCTGGAGCTTGGCTTATTTGTGATGTAATTAACCCTCAGGAAATGCTTCCCTCATCCACAGTGGCTCTCCAGACTTGCATAACTTCTTTCAAGATGTGCTTACCCTCAAAGTTGTGGCCCGAAGTTGCACCAGGGGATGTTTTGATTGGACATGACAAAAAAAATTCTTCATAGAAAGGATTGTCAAGCCTTGGAACAAGCTGTCCAGGGAAGGGGTGGAATCATCACCCCTGGAAGTATGTAAGGAATGTGTAGATGTGCTGCTTAGGAGTAGTTTACTGGTGGGCTTGGCAGTGTTGGGCTTGATGGTCTTAGAGGTCTTTTCTAACCTAAGTGATTCTGTAATTCATTTCTGCCCTCTCAGAGTTCTTCCCTAGCCCTGCACAGGTGTCACAGCTCAGTCCCCCCCAGGTTGTCTGGGCAGGAGGGTTTATGTCTGTTCCAGGATCTCTCACAGTGGTTGATGCAACTTGTTTTTAAGTCCTATTTCTAATCCCAGAAGGCAGTTCTTTCAGTCTTGTCTTGTGCTTGGGTTTAGGGTATGTTTAAAGGAGAAGAGATCCTGAAAACATTATGCAAGGCCCCTCCCCTTCCTGAAGAAGGCCCCTCAGGCACTGCAAACAGAGGTGGCAGTCAACATGGAACTCAGTGCAAGATGGGGGCCTGTTTTTGAGATATAAACACCCTGAGCTGTGTCTGCCTGTAGTTCTTAGATCTCTATCCTGAATCTGTGGTCTTCATTGCTATAAATATTTAAGTGTTTTTATTCCTATTAATGTTTTATAATATTATTTATTAAATACTAGAGTTTAGAACAATTTGTCATCTGAATAAAAATAGTGCATTTCATTTAAAGTCCAGCTTGTGCTGCAAAGTATCAATGTAATACAATGTGTTCAATATGTTTTTTTAATGCTTATTTCCCCCCTCAAATTGGATGCTGGCTTTCAATTTGAATATTGAGCTACCTGAACTGAATTATTTATCAACTTTAATTAGATTTGCAGACAAGTCATTTTTGCACATCTTTTCTAGGAAAAAATGCAGTTCTTTCTGGAAACTTTTAAGAAACATCAGACTGAGGACGCACAGCTAATTAACTTCACATTTTCTGTCAGTCATCCTTTCTTTTCTGTCTCTCTTTTTTTGTGTCTAGAAAACTAAAATGTGGGCTATGATGTTGTAGCTCACTGATTGTAAACTAAAACATGTTACAGCACACATCTACAATCCAAATTTAGGGAGGTTTTGATAGTTATTTTTGTAATTATTTGTATTTCTATATTACTTAAATTCTTCACCTAAGGAATGAGTCCTGTTATGTTTAGCACAGCTTAAATGCAGAATGAGAATCCTTTTCTGAAGGAGAAAGCTTATTTTTGCCACAGCAGAGCATCAAGCTCTAAATCATATCTGATTTTTATGAACACATTTTCTCGCTCTACCAGTAAGCACTGCTGGCAAAGTTGAAAAGAACCACTTCTGGTGGACTCTGTAGTGTGACACTATGGAAGCTACTGGAAAATTTGAGTGGTGTCTTTGCCTATAGTGCATCCTTTGTTGCTGGAAATGTGAAGATTGAATTTTAAATCTTACTTTAAGGCGTGGGAGATACGTAGCTAATTTCCAAATAGAGTCCACACAATTTATGATTTAAGAAAAAAAATGTGTTAATATGTTAATCAGAAAGAACATAAATTTTATGCAGTTACTCATAACTTTATACAATGATTACATGTAACTACATTGTTATTACAGTCTCAAAATTACAGTATAATTATATTTAGTTAATTCCAAAAGCAATTGCTGCGTGGCCAGAATTCATTTATATAAACCTAGACTAAGCACTGAATTGACTAGGAAAGTGAGGTAAATCTAATTGAGATAGATTGAGCAAACCTAATCAGCAGGGATATTTAATGGCAAAGAGAACAAAGAATTAAATAAAGCGATGCAAAGGCTATTCAGAAGAGTGGATATATGAGATAATAGGCCTCTCCATCTCTGATGTCATGTCTGATTCAGTGAGTCATCCCTAGTATTTTGTTAGTTGGCTGCCAGTTTGCATTGTATGTATATATATGTTTATACATGGAGGACATGTTCTGCTGTTCTTATACGGAATTTTATCCCGGTATAACACATCCACTTCCAAATGCTGATGCTTTGCAAAACAGGAGGGCAGAAGAAGGCTTGCTTGCTGTCCCACCTCATTTATCATTAGCTGCTATGATTCTGATGAGCCAGAAGAACTTGTGTTTACTCTTAAGAGTACAATTCACTTGTCTAGGAAAGGGGAACTTGTAGAGTTACCGTGGGGTACCCAAGACCTACATGGGTCTGGAAAATGAAGTGTGGAACCTGTAGGAAGTTCACACTCCTCTGAAGTCAGATGTGAAGGCCAGATTTGAAATCCAGATTATCTTAAAATGTCATTAAATTACTGCAGATTGGCAGTGGAATCAAACTATAGGCCATGATACCCTGACAGCTGAAAGGAAGACCAAAGACCATTTCTGCATTTCCCACTCTGAGTGCAATCTCTATGTGCTGCTGGGGAGCCTAGGGATTATACTTAGGATGAATGTTATTATATCAGCTGATAATTTCCAGTTTGAAGAACACAGGCTAGTTCTGACCTTGTCCCTTGATTGCATCCTTTGATTACATCCCTTGAACCAGCTACAGAGAAGATGGGAGGCACATAGCTTTCCATCAGAGACCCTGTGTAACAGGATATTGAAAGAATATTAAGGTGGTTTTAATGTAGGAGAGGATTTGAAGTAAATAATATATAATGATTTTTTTAAAAGAAGGAAATCTGAAAAATCATCTTGTTCCTGTAGGTTGCTTTCACTTTTAGAAGCTGTAAGTTCATATTGATCTTTCTGTTAGCACACAGATGAGGTTTATTGCCTTACAAATCTTTATATTGGTGTGATTTTTTTTTCGTATGTTGACCTGACATTTAGTCATATAAAACATCTAATTTCACCAGTTTTCCATATAGAGCTTAGATGATATTCTGCCAATTGGATTTCAGTTACATATGTGAACGCTGGTTTATATTTCTGAAACTTTAAGGAAAACCTTTCTCGTTTTGTATAGCAGCATTGAGCAAATGATGGACTCAAACACCTTATTTTAGAAAGGATGTAATTACATTGTTAAATAATGCTTCAAAAGAGGAGGAGAGAATGTGCGTGGGGGAATTTTCCTCCAAAATTGAGCTGTGAAGAGGCAGAGACAGAAAGAGCTGAATGTCCTCTTTTTGATGGCAGAAGCTGCAGTACTGCAGTCTAAGAAATTAGAGGCAGATGGCAGAGTGGATGATAGGAGACCAAGGAAAATCAGATGTTCATGTTGTAGAATAAACGCAGACAACATACAATTTCGCTGCTGTTCCCTTGGTTAGAGATACAACGAAGCTCAAGCCCATTAGTTCATAAGCTGTGAAGTTCTGATTTTGGAATCATGCCATAAATAGAATGAGCATAACCATGACCAAAAAAAGGATTGATCAGTATATGAATGTTTTATTACTTAGAGTTATATGCATATACTGGAAATTTGACCTCCCATGGATATATAGAAAGAGGAGTGGCAGCTTTTAAAAAGTTGTATTGGTGTTTGGGGAATTATTTTGGCTATATGAATACTGATAAATGTGTCCACATATTATAGTTCAACAGGTTGTTTTTTCAGTAAAAAGAGAAACCACATATTTTACATGGTAAATTTGAGCAAGTATTCACAGAGATATACAGCAAAATAATCTTTAACCTTAGAAAAATACTTGGTAGAAGATAGAGCAGTGCCTCCTCTGGTGATGCAAGTTTTCTCTAAAGTAGTCATACCATTGTGGATGTTTATGTTTAAAAATTTGAATTTTCTTATGATTCTCTTTTCATGGTATTTATCTTAACAGAGCAAGAAGGGATGGTACTACCACACACATTTGTGTTGGAATTACAAAGATCATAAGGAGTCATAATTCAGATAGTTTATTAGAAATACTTAAATAGATTTGTTGACTGTGGTGTTACTATGAAATGCAGAAATAGCCATAACTGTGCATTAATCAAAAGTGAAAAATCAAATGTCAACAGAAATACCATCTCTTTGCTACCCACCTATAGTTTATTCAGAAAAGTTTAGGGAGGAGCTGAAAACAAATGCTTTAGGGGCTTTGCATACATATGATGTATTTCTCAAGTGTGGCAATGTGAATTTGAAGAAGGTGCTTGAAAAACCCATCTGAGTGACATGTTATGTTGTATCAATGCTTTTAATATCCAGACTGTTGACCTCATACATTTATGATGTATGTGGTCAAACAGTAGTGCAGAGAGCTGATGGGAATGACTAATAATTCCAGTGGAATCATTACAGCATAATGGTGTCAACATGTACTGCTGGGAGACTCTTAATCCTTGGAACATTAATATTACACTGGATGTGACCATTGCATGTCAAGACATACCATAAACCTGGTGTGATACTCGTCACTGCAACCAAAAGACACAAGGTTGTGATAATTTCCAAGTGATCATCCTCGTGTTTTGATATTATTTGGCTAATATTAAATACCATTTAGATACAGAGAAATAGTAATAGCACACACACAGTTAGCTGAGAACTTGAGTGTGAAACTCAGGAGTGCTGATGAGCATTTACACAGACTGAAATAATTTGTGCAAGCAATGGTTTAATTCAAAAGAAGCTGGGTTAAATATAGCTAGTCATATCAAAAGTTGTGCTGTGCTACCAAAAACCCCCATACACTATGAATTTTTACAGTGTCTGTGGGTTACACAGATGGCAGTGAGCATTGTGTCAGATCTGACACCATACAGGTTGAGAATGCCCAGGTGACATTTTAAAAGGTCCCCAAAACTCCCGTTTGTCATCCATGTGGGAAACAAAAGACCTTTAAATCCTGACCCAGCCCTACTGGTAGACTGTGGGTACATGCAATGGTAAATGCTGGACTGCAGATTTATGGCCTCTGTGTGCAGTACTCCCCCAGTGTTGGAATGAGCCCCTAGCAGACCTTCACTGCCATAGGAGTGGGGGAATGAAGATGCACAACAACAGATCTGGCTCTCAGGACTTACCTGCTGAAGCCCCAAACAACTGCAGCTACTGCTGCTTTGAAGTAGAGTTTTGGGGTGCTCAACACAGATATAAAGCAGGCACTTCCTGTGCTTATTTTCTATGACTTTCTGTCGTGGTACCTCAGAGGTAAGCCTGAAGTAATCCCAGCAGCTTCAGTGTAGTTGCTTTAGATTTATACCCATATAAACAGGAGCCCTATTTGCCCATTGTTTCTAAAATACGAGGTTTCTCTTCCGTATCAAACTTCAGCGACTTATTTTATATTCCCTTACATCACGTTTTATCACAGATAATCCAGGAATATTGTTTCTCTGAGTAATAAAATTGTTCTTTAGTGCATGACCAGAGTAAAGGATATTGTGTCTTTTAGACATCACGTATAGACAAGAAGATATAAATGAGAGTTAATAACCATCAAATGTGTCTATTTCCTTTTCCTATAAATTAGAGCATGCTTTCCTACTGAATTTTGCAAGAAGGAAAACAGACTCCCTCCTGCTGATGTGAGGAAGCAATGCTAAATCTCCCTAAAGATTCACTCTGGCTTCTTACAGCTGTATGTTAGTACCTTTTTATATGCAATTTTACTTCATTTAGTCTTTAAGGTTGTGCCTGAGGTTAGTTTAAAAGGTTAGTTAAATGTTAATGGATGTTAATGCTGCAATTAAATTGTTAAATCAATTGAAAACTGTGGCTCCATCTCTATCTGTGTTAGTGCCGGCCTGAGTTGCATTGGCGTATAAATTAAAAGCTGTAAATCTAGTGAAGTCTAATTAGAGACCAAATTTCTCATTTATCTTATTTTCACAGGACTGTAAGCACTGATAGATAATCAACGAAGGGCTAAAACTTTTTAACATTAAAAAACTATTTTATCTATTTCAGGACTCAGGTGACTGATTATAATTCAGATCCAATTACTGTAAAAGGTCATATGTGAAATGAAGTTCTTACAGACACTACAAGTTTTATTTTACAAGTTTGCATACACTGCTGCACCACCTACATCCCAAAAAGCAAAAGTAAATACACTGAACAAGATTATATAAAAACGCTCTTCAATTAGCCTCCCTCATGTAACCCTTTGAAGTTTGTGATTTTAATACATGAGCACATCCAGTGTTCAATCCTACAGCACATGCTTAAGCTTCCCAGGTTATGTGTGTGCATAAGACTCTTGTTGGTTCTTGCCTTCTGTGAGTAAAGGTAATTAGCAACATGCTTAAATACATTCGCCATAGATAGAGCGATACAAATTCTTGAATTTGTGAGAATGGTTATTTCCATTGTTATGCTTAAATTAACTACTGGCAACCTGCCACTTAGGAAAAAGAAAGGAAAAAAACCCCAGGCTGTTTTATCCACTAAGGTCTTGAGGAAAAGGAAATACCGATCTTAATCCAACTTGCAGTGCCCCAGTTTTGAGGGTGTTTTCATGCAATAAAAACACATGCTACTTAATGTTAGTTCCTCCAAAGTTAAAAGTGAGATTTAATCATGCTGCTTCTGTTGGCTTATTTTTCCAACACCCCCTGTGATTCTCCGAAGTGTAGATCTTAAAGCTGCAAAAAGGCCAACAACAGATTGCAGCATGAGCATAGGGAGCAGCATCAAGACTCATTAGTTTACAAATAAACCACAAGACAAATGTTTAAAATGTTTGTAGGTTCCAAATCACAGTTCTAAAATTGCATCCTTTTGGTCATGTAGGAGTGTTAGAAATGTTACAGTTTTACATGTTAATTTCTTTTTTAGTGACTGTTCCTGGAGCACTTGAGGAAACATGTTTTGCTTTGGGAAATAAAAGGGAAAAAAAAAATCCTCTGTCCTAACCAATTAAGACATCACAGAAAGAAGTCATGAGCTCGGATTCTGCTAGAAGGCCTTCTTCCAAAGAAGTGTCAACTCATGTCCTTTCTAGTGACTTCAGCTAAATTTCAACATTTATTAAAACACAAAAAGAGATCAAATCTGAAAGTGAATTGCCGAGTAGCTTGAATGTTCTAAACTTTTCTCTCTCCTAATTTTGTCACAAATTCAGGTCTTCTAAAAACATCTCGGCTGCAGACTCTGTAGGAAAAATGCTGTCGTGTTGAGTGTCCCCTACAGCAAATGAAAAAGGATGTTCTGGTTTTATTCTAAAAGGTGCACAAATTTCCTGACTGTCTTTTCTTTCCTGTTTGCATCAGTTTCAGTATTCACAGATTTGATATGTCACATTGCACCTCCCAAAAAAGTTGAATGTTGAACAGTCAAATATCCACAAGAATACCTTGTGGATATTTAGTAGATAATAGTACAAAACCTGTTGTTTTCTACTATTTTGTTATATAGTGCTTTTCCAATTATTTTGGTACGTGATTAGTTAATATTTCAGATAATTATTATTATTTAACTATTTTTTTGTCACAGAGGTTCTGCATCTTCATAAGAAATGGATAGGACCATTGCTAACAGAGATCATAAATCACTTCTACTAAAAGTACTCTCTTTAAAATTGTAACTTGCTTTCCTTTCACTTCCTTGGTAAGAAAAGACAGCAAGGAATGATAATTCTTTTTACTAAGTGCTCAGAGTAGTAAATAGTTGCCTTATAGCAAGATGTAATGTCATAAAGCAGGATATAAAAATAATAATAGTTAATCATTAAATAGCATGTTTCATCCACAGAAAATGGAGCTCTTAGAAAAGATGGCTAAATAGCATTATCCATTTCCTTAATCCATCTCCTTTCCTTAATAATGATTTGATAAAATGGAAGCCAACTTTATCTCACCTTGAAAATAATAGTCTAGTTATACCAAACTTTCTCTACTACTTTCTAAACAACAATGCTAAATTTCAATAAATATTTGAGGGAAAGTCACAGTCCTTTAAGTGAAGGAAGGAACAACACAGATACAACTAAATTCATTGTTGAGTCAATGATTAATTGAATTATAAAAGAGAAGCTGAAGTTAACACAAGAATGGGAGAGATCTAAGTGTTTTTCCATTGTAGATCTGAGGCCTGTTGAATCCACAGGGAATACTCTTAGTCCTCTCAGAACTTGTGGTCTGGAAAGTTTCCTCACAGGCCAATTGACTTGTCCAGGGAGATTTTAACTGCTGATAAAATACTGGCCTTATAGATGGGCTTCTTAAATGGGGTATGGAAAAGAAGAGATACTGTCTTTGGGAAGTTGATCGGCTGATTTGAATCCCGGCATTCATCAGCTGAGGTGATCACGAAATCGAGAACGTAGGACAAATTCTAGAGTTATACATTTTCCCTACCAACTTCTGCTTTGCATGTTTGATGGTAGATTTACAGCAAGGAGAAATATCTGAAGCTAAACAGTATTTTGGCATAGAACAATTTTGTGTGAACTCACTCTGATGGGTGTTTCTGTAGAACTTGAACATTACCTGCAGATGAAAGAAGACTTTCTTTATCCATTGTTCTCATCTTGTTGACTTCCATTACTGCTCTTGCTTGTGTTTTGGGAGGCAGAGGAGTTCTCATCTTGCGTTATGTGCCTTTGCTGTGCCATGTCATTTCTGGACAGAACAAAAGTATTCCAGCATTGTTCTGTGGACCCAGCAGAAGAAGAGCAAAATTTGGAGCAGCTGGGAAAAGGACTTACCATGTCCACTATTTCAAACTTTATTTTTCTAGTTCTGTTCTGATTAAGTACCAAGCTGCTGCTACTTGAAAGCTTCTCTTTGTCAGATTGAGTCTCCCTGTCCTGTAACTCAGACACAGAAACCTTCCTTTGATTTTTGTAGCCCACAAAGAGTTCTCCAAGAAATCTTTTCTTTCCTTTCTCTTTTCATAGATAAACGAAAAGATTTATATCATAGATTTTTCTATAGATAGAAGTAGAAAATAGATTCCACATAGATTTTGGTGTGTGAAACGCTGAAGAGATGCCTTGATTTTGTGAGTGGGTCAGATGTTGCTCTTGGTCTGTCTGTTTTCATGGCTGTGGTGCATATTGCTTGACATTTGGGGGACAGGTGTTACATACCTGCGTGAGTGACATGGTTTTATCAGTTTTACTTGTGACAGTGAGCGGCTACTTCCCCTGGGCCGGTGCAGGTGTCAGTGCTGCTTCAGGGAACTAGAAGTGGGAAAATTTCTCCTAGCTGAAGGAGTAAATAACTTTCTCTTGGACTCCATCTATAAGGCAGTGCAAAAACAACCATTACCCACTGTGCAGAGAAGGGGAGTGATGGGGAGGCATCATTCCTTTTGGTGACAGTCCACACTTCATCTCAGTATCACAAACAGCAGTGTCCCACAGCAGTATCATAAACCTGTATCCAAAAGAGCAGCTTCTTTTACATTTTGTTATATTTCGTCTGGAGGGGGTATACTAACTGTTCCAAACAAGAAAAAAAATCCCATGGCAATATGGAACAGTTGTCTTTCAGGCTGGTTTTTATCTGATGGTCACCACCCTGCCTATTGCTAACTTCAGTAGGATTTCTGTAAATAGCTTGGTGTTATTTGCTTGGTGAGCAAAAGCATCTCCAAATGTCTGGATTAGAGCACTGGTAAGAGAAAACATTTACAAGTCTAAGTTTGTTCTCCAGTGGGTAGTATACTGGGAGGCAGATAAAATCATCCTGCAGCCTTTCATGACTGGCAGTGTCTGGTAACACAGCAATGAGTGCTGAATGTGTAGATAAAAGAGTAAGGCACCGGAATAGCGGGGGACTCTGCAGATCAGCACTGATGTACATTGATAGAATTACTCCCTGTAAAGGGAACTTGTACGGCATCTGCCTGCAGATATCTGACACTCATCAACATTGTCATTGTCTTGCTTCCATGGGAATCAGATATTAATTTTACAAAGCCTAAATGCAAGCTAGAAACAAGACAGATAAATGTATTTTATGCTGTCGTGTTTCGCCTTGTGATGCTCACAGCAGTGCTTAGCTGGAACCTCTGTAGGTGGGTTTGCTTCAGCATTTACGTGAGGATGACGAGGGGCAGAATGTGTCAAGCAGAAAACAAAAGTACAGGGAATGTTGCCCATCCATTAGGAGTGGGATGGCTCCTGGGAGAGATTCTTGTCTGCAGCTACCCAACCTCCAAACTGTGATGATAAACAACAGAACTTGAGAGCAAGGCAGATGACATTGCCTGGTTCTGGAGACAGGAGTTCCCTGTAAAAGTCAGATTTTCCTTCTGCCTTCTAGGAAATAGTGGTTCTAAGTGGCTCCCTGAGACAGAAGTGCCTTTTTCTTTTTTATTTTTATAATTTCAGTGTTTTTCTGAATGAGACTCGTTCGTAGTGTGATGATCAGGAGCTCCCCTTCCCTCCATCCCTCATTCCCTGCTGCTGTGCAAGCAGGAGCCCTGCTCTCTGACAGCAGGGGCCGGGGTGGTTGTTTGCAGCAGAGAGATTCAACCATTTGTGCGACCCGGCTGTTTCCAAACAAGCCAGGCTCCTGCAAGCCTTACCAGCTGTGAGTAATAGTGAAGGGAAGGGGGAAAAAAGAAAGCTGCCTGGGCCTGCAGGCTTCAGACAGGCAGGCTCTGGGGGAAACAAGAGAAAGCCATTAACTAACCACAGTATTATCTTGATTCTCTCAGAGAAACGAGCTAGGGACGGCTAATGAACTAGCCTTAACGTTTCAAACTGAATGCACCTCTGGGAGCTCTGCTAGAACAAACAGTGTGACAGATCAATGCCTGATGCCTATATCAAGAGAAAAGGTTATTTGCCTCTCTAAGGAATTGCATGATTAGTATATCGCTATGATACACTTTGTATCCTTTTCAAAATATGGGTTTATATGTTGTGCTTATTTTTATTTTTGTAAGTTGTGAACTCCACTAGTGTGAGCAATAAAAAGGTAATCCATTCTTCTCCGTCCCTCTCTCTTTCCCAGGATCCTTTATGTTTGGGAGCCTACACATGCATTGTTTGACTGTTGTGTGCACCTTGCCACGGAGACACTCACTTTTAGAAAGTTTTTTTAAAAAAAATCAGTTTAGAGCTGTGTCACTTGGTTGGGACCCTATGAAAGGCCTTGATAGGAGGCAGATTCTCAATAGAAGAAAACCTTGTGTGGGGAAGGTTTTGCTTACTTTCTGCTGCTATCACTGTTATCTTCCATGTTCTTGGGTAGTTCCATGTGTGTCCAGGCTTTAGAACCCAATCTCTAAAATGGTATATTAAACCTTCCTTTCTGTTACTGCTTCTCTGCCTTTGCTGTTTAGATTGAAAACTCCTGCACAGGATGTTCTTCCTATTTATACTGTACCTGGTACATGGACTGTAGATCCCTGTTGGGAGTTTTTGATAATTTAGTTAATACAAAAATAACCTCCAAGTGTAATACAATTTGTAAAAGAGATGAAAGGAAGTGACAAAGATGAAGGTGGGACCTGGAGATAATTTACCATATAAAATTATTAGAATTGGTAGACTTCTTGGGCTAGGAAGAGTTCAGGCTAGGTTATTCTTCATCCTTGTGCCTTGTCCTTTGATGCTTAGGGCAATACCAAGCCAAGGGGGTAAATAGTCCAAGTGCAGCAGTCTTACCTCCTCAGCTGGAGGCAGAGTTGTTTTTAACTGCTGTCTATGATTTCACTATATCCTTTGATATTGCCATTTTTCTTTAAAGCCAAAGCCCTTGAAAACTATTTTGATCAATTACCTCATTCAGGAAGCTGCTGTACGTATTTAACCATAGACACAGGCTTTGGTCAGGCTATCAAAGTAATTTTCATTTTTACAAATTATTGCTTTAATGGGAATTAGATGAGGAGTGAATTATTGTTTCTTAAGAAAAATAAAAATCTCCAGGTGATTTGTCAAGAGATAATTGTCTGAGCATCAGCATTTAAGGAGGTCTGCATTTCCTTCTA